TTAATTTCCAAAGAAAGTCGAATTTCAGAGTTTGTTCGACTTAATCATGGTCACATTCCACCACTGGCTTGTTGAAAGAACGAAAAAAGGCAATATTTTGGATTATTTCTATCAGTCGAACTGAGAGGCAGGTGCTGTAAATTCTAACAAAGTGCAGCAAATTGTAATAAGAAGCGCAGTAAATTGTAATTATCTGCGGCAAATTGTAATAACTGGTGCGGTAAATTGTAATAACATATCTGATTCCTTCTAATTTCCAAAGAAAGTTGAATTCCAGTGTTTGTTGGACTTCATCATCGTCAGATCCCATCGGTGGGATGTTAAGTGAATGAAAAAAGGGAAATAATTTGGATTATTTCTATCATTCGAACTGAGAGGAAGGTGCCGTAAATTCTAACAAACAGTTGCAAATTGTACTAACAAGCACGGTAAATTGTAATAACATCTCTGATTCCTTCTAATTTCCAAAGAAAGTCGAATTTCAGAGTTTGTTCAACTTAATCATGGTCACATTCTACCATTGGCTTGTTAAAGAAGAAGAAAAAAGGCAATATTTTGGATTATTTCTATCATTCGAACTGAGAGGCAGGTGCTGTAAATCCTAACAAAGTGCGGCAAATTGTAATCGCAAGAGCGGTAAATTGTAGTAAACTGCTGCAAATTATAATAACTGTTGCGGTAAAATGTAACAACATCTCTGATTCCTTCTAATTTCTAAAGAAAGTCCAATTCCATAGTTTGTTTGGCTTCATTATGTCAGATCCTATCACTGGGATCTTACATGAATGAAAAAACGGAAATATTTTCGGCTATTTCTATCATTCGAACTGAGACACAGCTTCCGTAAATTGCAACAAACTGCGGCAAATTGTAATAACTGGTGCGGGAAATTGTAATAACATATCTGATTCCTTCTAATTTCCAAAGAAAGTCGAATTCCAGTGTTTGTTCGACTTCATCATCATCGTCAGATCCCATCGGTGGGATCTTAAATGAATGAAAAAAAGGAAATAATTTGGATTATTTCTATCATTCGAACTGAGATGAAGGTGCCGTAAATTCTAACAAACTGTGGCAAATTGTACTAACAAGCACGGTAAATTGTAATAACATCTCTGATTCCTTTTAATTTCCAAAGAAAGTCGAATTTCAGAGTTTGTTCGACTTAATCATGGTCACATTCCACCACTGGCTTGTTGAAAGAACGAAAAAGGCAATATTTTGGATTATTTCTATCAGTCGAACTGAGAGGCAGGTGCTGTAAATTCTAACAAAGTGCAGCAAATTGTAATAAGAAGCGCAGTAAATTGTAATTATCTGCGGCAAATTGTAATAACTGGTGCGGTAAATTGTAATAACATATCTGATTCCTTCTAATTTCCAAAGAAAGTTGAATTCCAGTGTTTGTTTGGCTTCATCATCGTCAGATCCCATCGGTGGGATGTTAAGTGAATGAAAAAAGGGAAATAATTTGGATTATTTCTATCATTCGAACTGAGAGGAAGGTGCCGTAAATTCTAACAAACAGTTGCAAATTGTACTAACAAGCACGGTAAATTGTAATAACATCTCTGATTCCTTCTAATTTCCAAAGAAAGTCGAATTTCAGAGTTTGTTCAACTTAATCATGGTCACATTCTACCATTGGCTTGTTAAAAGAAGGAAAAAAGGCAATATTTTGGATTATTTCTATCATTCGAACTGAGAGGCAGGTGCTGTAAATCCTAACAAAGTGCGGCAAATTGTAATCGCAAGAGCGGTAAATTGTAGTAAACTGCTGCAAATTATAATAACTGTTGCGGTAAAATGTAACAACATCTCTGATTCCTTCTAATTTCCAAAGAAAGTCCAATTCCATAGTTTGTTTGGCTTCATTATGTCAGATCCTATCACTGGGATCTTACATGAATGAAAAAACCGGAAATATTTTCGGCTATTTCTATCATTCGAACTGAGACACAGCTTCCGTAAATTTTAACAAACTGCGGCAAATTGTAATAACTGGTGCGGGAAATTGTAATAACATATCTGATTCCTTCTAATTTCCAAAGAAAGTCGAATTCCAGTGTTTGTTCGACTTCATCATCGTCAGATCCCATCGGTGGGATCTTAAATGAATGAAAAAAGGGAAATAATTTGGATTATTTCTATCATTCGAACTGAGATGAAGGTGCCGTAAATTCTAACAAACAGTTGCAAATTGTACTAACAAGCGCGGTAAATTGTAATAACATCTCTGATTCCTTTTAATTTCCAAAGAAAGTCGAATTTCAGAGTTTGTTCGACTTAATCATGGTCACATTCCACCACTGGCTTGTTGAAAGAACGAAAAAAGGCAATATTTTGGATCATTTCTATCAGTCGAACTGAGAGGCAGGTGCTGTAAATCCTAACAAACTGCGGCAAATTGTAATCGCAAGAGCGGTAAATTGTAGTAAACTGCTGCAAATTATAATAACTGTTGCGGTAAAATGTAACAACATCTCTGATTCCTTCTAATTTCCAAAGAAAGTCGAATTCCAGTGTTTGTTCGACTTCATCATCGTCAGATCCCGTCGGTGGGATCTTAAATGAATGAAAAAAGGGAAATAATTTGGATTATTTCTATCATTCGAACTGAGATGAAGGTGCCGTAAATTCTAACAAACTGTGGCAAATTGTAAACTGCGACTAACAAGCACGGTAAATTGTAATAACATCTCTGATTCCTTTTAATTTCCAAAGAAAGTCGAATTTCAGAGTTTGTTCGACTTAATCATGGTCACATTCCACCACTGGCTTGTTGAAAGAACGAAAAAAGGCAATATTTTGGATTATTTCTATCAGTCGAACTGAGAGGCAGGTGCTGTAAATTCTAACAAAGTGCAGCAAATTGTAATAAGAAGCGCAGTAAATTGTAATTATCTGCGGCAAATTGTAATAACTGGTGCGGTAAATTGTAATAACATATCTGATTCCTTCTAATTTCCAAAGAAAGTTGAATTCCAGTGTTTGTTGGACTTCATCATCGTCAGATCCCATCGGTGGGATGTTAAGTGAATGAAAAAAGGGAAATAATTTGGATTATTTCTATCATTCGAACTGAGAGGAAGGTGCCGTAAATTCTAACAAACAGTTGCAAATTGTACTAACAAGCACGGTAAATTGTAATAACATCTCTGATTCCTTCTAATTTCCAAAGAAAGTCGAATTTCAGAGTTTGTTCAACTTAATCATGGTCACATTCTACCATTGGCTTGTTAAAAGAAGGAAAAAAAGGCAATATTTTGGATTATTTCTATCATTCGAACTGAGAGGCAGGTGCTGTAAATCCTAACAAAGTGCGGCAAATTGTAATCGCAAGAGCGGTAAATTGTAGTAAACTGCTGCAAATTATAATAACTGTTGCGGTAAAATGTAACAACATCTCTGATTCCTTCTAATTTCCAAAGAAAGTCCAATTCCATAGTTTGTTTGGCTTCATTATGTCAGATCCTATCACTGGGATCTTACATGAATGAAAAAAACGGAAATATTTTCGGCTATTTCTATCATTCGAACTGAGACACAGCTTCCGTAAATTGCAACAAACTGCGGCAAATTGTAATAACTGGTGCGGGAAATTGTAATAACATATCTGATTCCTTCTAATTTCCAAAGAAAGTCGAATTCCAGTGTTTGTTCGACTTCATCATCGTCAGATCCCATCGGTGGGATCTTAAATGAATGAAAAAAGGGAAATAATTTGGATTATTTCTATCATTCGAACTGAGATGAAGGTGCCGTAAATTCTAACAAACTGTGGCAAATTGTACTAACAAGCACGGTAAATTGTAATAACATCTCTGATTCCTTTTAATTTCCAAAGAAAGTCGAATTTCAGAGTTTGTTCGACTTAAACATGGTCACATTCTACCATTGGCTTGTTAAAAGAAGAAAAAAGGCAATATTTTGGATTATTTCTATCATTTGAACTGAGAGGCAGGTGCTGTAAATTCTAACAAAGTGCGGCAAATTGTAATCGCAAGAGCGGGAAATTGTAGTAAACTGCTGCAAATTATAATAACTGTTGCGGTAAAATGTAACAACATCTCTGATTCCTTCTAATTTCCAAAGAAAGTCCAATTCCATAGTTCGTTTGGCTTCATTATGTCAGATCCTATGACTGGGATCTTACATGAATGAAAAAAACGGAATTTACATCTTATCATAAAGGTATAGACAAGCATAAAAACAGTACGACTCCTTCGCAACATGGCCATGCTTGTCAGCTTATGCTTTCTGTAAACTAGATCAAAATACGCCTGTGTCTTTCTTTGATATAATTGATGTCTTATTTAATGAACGTATTCTTTCTCTTTATTTATCCACAGTCTTCTTCTATTCATGTTTTGTATTTTGCTAATTTCATTGTATATATTACCAATGATTATTATTCCTGTTAGCATCCGCATGCAGGAGGGAGTAAATCTATTTACTATTATAAATGTAGAATCACTTGCATTCCTGACTTACCGAACATATGAATTCCAGGCTTTCCGAACATCTCAATTCAATATTCAATTCAAATGTACCTGACAAGAAGCCCACTAAATCTTAATATGCTTCTAGAGGACTTGGTATGGGGCAAGTGTATCGTGTACTTGATAACAATTGGTGACTAAATCTGTAAATGAATCGCTCATAAACCTCTGGTCACATTGTAGAATATATGCATTTGCTTCACAGCAGTGGCATATCGAAAGTTCAGGAGATCACGTCACATAGAAGTGAGCAGAAGTAAAATATCAAATGCATGATTGCAATGAATATACTGGTCTGGATTGTGTCATAAGTAAGTACCTGTGTAGGCGAGACGGATCAGTAGGCAGGGAACATGTTACAAAAAATTACTATATCAACAGTGCTAAGCCTTCCTCCCTGTACAAAGTTCTCATAATTCCCTCAGGGAATGAACAGAATTACAGCGAATTAGTTGATAATAATGAGAACGTGCTGTCTCACGGAAATTTTTGCCTTAAAATAAAATATATGAATTCAGGATAATGATGACATCAGAGTTGCTAGCGTTCCAAGGTTTATTCAGATGCAGAGTGTGAAGATTCAATAAAACATTTCAATTCAATTCAATATGTGGAGATATGAAAATAATCGTACAGTATTACAATAGACTGACGTGAATATATTATTTTCATCTTCATAATTATTAAGCTTCGCAGAACATCAACATGTTTTGGACATTACATTTATAAGATATTTTAATTCCATCATATGTATACATATATATGAACACATCAAATAATGATAAGGTACAGTATTACAGATAACTGATACGAACATATTATACTCATATATATAACGCTATACTTATCAAAACATCAGCGTAAGTTGGGCATTATATTTTTATGTACAGGTAGAACCTTACAGGAACATCTTTTTAAGTTCAGAGAACGGCACACAACGATACAAATACACACGCTAAAACATTAGATTCCTATTGGTAACATCAGCTTAAAATAATGAAACATTAACTAGTACACGTATCGTAGATGTTTTACGGTAGTGCAATTTACGCACTACCGTACTCCCTTTAATACAAGCGCTGCTCTTATTAGCCTGAATATACAAAATAGTTTTACATAGGTGTAAGTATACACCTGTTTCCCGGGTTCAACCCTTCCTAAACATTATTACAATTTCGCAATACATTGAACAATAACTACACAAATGAACGTACGCCTGTAGCTGAACATCTACAATAATATATATGATTTGAAGTTACCGAAATCTAAAACAGTATTCCCAAAACACTTTCAACATATAATGAAACGAACATATAAACAACGCATGGAAATGTCTTACCTTAAAATAAAATATATGAATTCAGGATAATGATGACATCAGAGTTGCTGGCGTTCCAAGGTTTATTCAGATGCAGAGTGACTTCACAGTCAAACTGCACCTGCTTATATATCGGAGGAACGCATAGCAATTGTAAATAATTGTCACCATTATCCCTTTGTTATTTCATGGATTGTTCCTGGTTGATACAATAGTCTCATAAATTACCTAACGTATATCGGTCTCTGACCGGACGGTGGTAATAAAAACACAAGGCTGCCGTTTCATTTAGCCAGAAGCATTTCAGATTGACCGCCGACTTGCTTGTGGGATTATCATTACGTGGTCAGCGTGTCAATCAGGAAGTGACATGCAGCCGGTAACTGCAGTGCAAACCATTAATTATTGTCTACAGTATGTCCATGTCTGGCGGCATGTATTTTACAACCTGAATGAGTTACTCTCGTTTGTGTACGGAAAATCACAACATAGGAAAATCACAACATAGGAACTTTTGTGAATTCATATAAATTTCATATCATAGTTATTATACTTTTGTGTGTGAAATATTAGTGAAATATTTGCACTATAACAATAATATATTGATATAATATATGTTGATTCTCTTTCGACATGCCCTCAAATAATAATAGTTTGTTATCTGCAAAAGCCATAACGTACATAACCAAGCTGATAAAGCTCCATTTAAAGCCTTGCATCTTACAAAACATACTCCAAGTGACTCTTGCATTTTATTGGCCAACAAAGCAGCATCTTGCGTTAATGTATCAACAAATGCACAGGCGACCCTCTCCAGGAAACTACTTTCTTCGCGTTTTACGTTTTCCATCATTGACCTGAACTGATTGGTTTCTCATTTTTGTTTGAAGTTGGTGTAACTGATATAATATGTGAAGTTATTACTGTTAAATTATTTTTGTACAAATGTCGCAGATTTTACATCAGTCTTTTAAGCTATTCCCTTAAATAATACTTCATAGATACTGTATAATCATACGCAGTCATATTCTTTGTGTCCATAAAATCTAAACTTAGATTTAAAGATATGTACATTTAATATAAGACACATATTTCTGACTTTACATGTCTTCACTTATACGTTTACATCGATGTATGTCTAAATTCACAAATAAGTTGTTGCTTTTTTCGAGTGATGCCCAAGTAGTCCAAATTTTGTTGGTGAAGGATGTATATATTTGACTGATCTAGACTTTGTTCAAGGGGCGCGGACGTACATTTCCAACCATGCGAGCATTCGTTGTAGCAGTTCTGTGCTACCTGTCTTTGAACTGTAACGCGACAGGCAAGGGATATACGCATTGTTTTGACGAGGAAACGTATGATACTATTATCTCACTTGTGAAAGGTAATTTTCAAACACCAGTTGCCGAAAGAACTGGAGGTCAACGATATGCCATTATTCGGTACTGGAGAAGGAAACAGGACTTCTCCATAGGCGCTGAAGCAAACAATATTCTGTACTTCAGAGGGAAGCCAGTTGTGAAACGAACGGATGTTGCTCAGGTTGTCGGACATGCATTTCACAGTCAGAAATCAGCAGGCTACAGAAGGTTGTGGCATTTGGCAGCTGATTCCATGTCAGGACTTACAGAGACCTCAATACGGAGAGAGCTACGGACGAAAGAGAAGTATTCCATTCACACAGCCAAGTTTACAAATAAAGCTATCATCAGACCAGTGAGAGCAAAGTCTGTGCAATCACATCATCAAGTTGATCTCGTAGATTTCAGCAGAAATGCTGTTAGATTGAAAGGGAAAACATATACAGACAGACAGACAGACAAGTTTATTCAGTAAAAGGCCACAGGCCCATCATACAGTAATTTGCATATGATATAGATAGTTTAGTGCACATGCTGTGTAAGAGGAACATTTCTAATGCGCTGAAGTACATGATACAGAAAAATACTGACATCTCTTATGATACAATCATTATGTGTTTTCATAATGTTAATAAAATTGGCATTTGGATCAAAATCAGTAAAATATTTCTGAATATATTTTAACCTTAAATCAGAAAAACGTTCACACTTAAGGAGTACATGGAATTCATCTTCAATAATATTTTTGTCATCCAATTTACAAAATAAACATAGTCTCTCGTTGTAATTTACTTTATTGTATCTTCCAGTTTCAACAGATCTGAGATGTGATGGAATATCAGAATTTAAACACCTTTCCACATTTAAAAATGTCTTAAATTGGGAGTAATAAAAACACTTATTAGAATTTTGAATTGAAGTGGACCAACAGTGTGTAAAATTATCCGAAAGTCTCTGCTTAAACAAGGATATTTAATAATCAACATTGCCAACATCCTGACTGATCCATGCATAGCCAAAACCATACTTAAATAAAATATTTTTGACACAAGTTGCCCAAGTAGTGCGGCCAACATCATCGAAGGACTTGAGCATAATATAACAATGTTTTGGCAGTCTATCATAAGGCATATACAATAGGTGACACCAGTATTTAATTACTTTAGTCATATAAGTAATTTGTAGAGGAAGTTTGCCACAATCACCAAGAGCCATGTTATTACAGGTAGATTTACCAACTTTCAAGAAATATTTACAAAATTTTACCTGAACAGACTCAATGATGCTACAATAGTTAGTACCCCAAATCTCAGACCCATAACACAAAATAGGTGCAACCATACAGTCAAAAATCTTAAATAAGTCTTTACAATTTACTCTTCCCATCTTTGTTTGAAAACCATTTACAGAAAATATTGCCTTGTTAGCTTGAGATATCAGACAGCTTTGCGCTTTACTCCATACAAGCTTTGGTGTAAATACAAGTCCTAGATATTTATAAAAGGATACAGTTTCAATAGGATTGCCATTATAGGACCACTTTTCATATTCCCGTAATGGCCCACCATTTCTAAAAACAAGAACTTTTGTTTTACTAACATTAATTGACATTCCAGTTTGTTTACAAAAACATTCAAGTGCATTTATCTTCTTTTGTAACTGATTACAAGTATCAGAAAGTGCAGAAACATCATCAGCAAACATAAGTGAACACAAATTGTTAAAAGCAGATGAAACATTAACACCTATACCACCTTCCTGTTCCATTAAGGAAAACAACTTATTTATAAATATGATAAACAGCTGTGGGATTAACACACAACCCTGACGGGTACCAATATTACATGTAAAACATTTATAATAGTAAATAGATTTACTCCCTCCTGCATGCGGATGCTAACAGGAATAATAATCATTGGTAATATATACAATGAAATTAGCAAAATACAAAACATGAATAGAAGAAGACTCTGGATAAATAAAGAGAAAGAAAACAGTTTGTACTGTCTCTAGTAGATGTATTCAGTAGATATACATGGCTTGTGGCGCTGCAAACAAAGAAGAGCAGGGGTGTAGCCAGTGCTCTGCGCGTGATCTACGAAGAACATGGTCCACCTAAGAAGCTGCAGATGGACCAAGGTGTCGAATTTAAGGGGCATGTAAATGAACTTTGTAAAAACCTTAAAATCAAACCAATACGCAGTAGACCGTATCATCCCCAGTCTCAAGGAAAGGTGAAGAGATCACACAGACAACTGAAAAGGAAAATAATGTATGACTTTGTAACTATGGGCACCAAGGGTGTAAACTGGGCATCACATTTGCGAAGATATGCCTCAATAATGAATAATGAAAAGAAAGAATGTTTAGATTGGCAGAGTCCATTTGAAGTGTACTTCGGAAGAAAATCAAACACTGTTCTAGAAATGGATTCAGGTGACTTCAATGCTGATATTGTGGATGCAAATATTCAACAACCTAATGCCAAGGACAGATTGAGGCAAAGTAAGTATGTTACTCGGACCAGAAAACGGGCTAAAGTCGCGACAAAGAAATCAAATAGACGCAGTGTGCAGAGACAACGAAGACTACACCCCCGTCAGTGTACAACGTTGGCGACGACGTTTTATGCAAATATAGTTAAAAAAAAGGAAAACTGGCTCCTAAGAAACAGTACATTGTAAAAGGGAAACTACTTGCACGGAAGTTAAAATCATCGATGTATATGATTTCATTCACAAATCCCATAACAGGAAAGGAGCACACATCTGAATGGATGTCAGTCGATAGGTTGTCAAGTTCCACAATTGATGCTGAGGTAAAACGAAAGCAACAGGCGTCGTCCAGATCACAGCGCAGGCATCACCGATCTAAGTATCGTATACCATTGTTGGATACCGAAAGACCATTTGCATCTCACGGTCGGATCGTTTATGATCCCCCAGGATACGGCGACTGTCAGTTTGCAGCCTTGTGTCACCTTTTAGCTTAAATTGGTATATTCCGCTCCTCTAGAACACTTCGAGAGCAGGTTGTGAGTTATCTCGTTGAGCATCCCTACACGCCAGATGGATTCCCCTTGGAACTTTACACCGGTGAAGAATGGGACACATACATATCTGATATGCTAGATGATGGTACCTACGGTGACCATATAACACTACAAGCAGTCTCAGATATGTTTAATATCAACATAATTGTACACTCATCGCTTGGCATCGATGCTACTGTTACCATCGTTCCCACGCACAGTGTCGCCATCGATACACTCAATCTTGGCCATTTTGCTGAAGAAGAAGGCGAACACTATGTTGCGCTTCAGCTGCATGAAACGCAAGACGAAGAGCAACTACATGAGGATCAGCTGCCAGTGGTAACAGAAGCAACAGATGTGCCAAGACAAGAGTTTGTAAACAGCAGTGATGAAGAAGAATTCATCTCCCGAGAAATTCATGTGATGGTCGAGGTTCGTCTGAATTGGAAGAAAACAGAAAGAAAGAACCAAGACATAGCTTTTACAGAAGGAGTATCAGCGACGACGAACAAGGGCATTCTCCGCACATTGAGCAGGAACCTATAGGCACTGAGGAGTCAAGACAAGTGTCTGATGACAACGGCAGCGATGAAGAATACAACTCTCTACAAAGTCATTCACCATTTGATGGGCCCGAGTTATTCTGACTTGGAAGGAGAAAGCAAGGAAGGGTCAAGAGAAAGCGATGAAGAGCAGGCTCATTGTTCTGTAGACATGGAACATTCAACACAAGGCTCTGACATGACGATGAACGATGAAGAGCATAATGTACCACTACAAGGACAAGGTCCTTCACCATGTGATGTTCAGGATCTTTTAGACTCGAAAGGAAGTGGAAATGAGATGTCAAGACGAGACGTTCAAAGCTCAAATAATAGCGACGAGGAAGTGAAAATCTCACGTAGAAAAGATCTTCATATGGAAGGAATCGATCATGACGTTTCACAAGATGACCAGGTTACATTTGCTGATTTACCAAACGAAGTTGTGCTTCATGTCATTGAGCTATCTTTACAGATAGCCCAGCAGTCTTCTGGCAGAGTACTATGCAAAACAATATTATCTTTCTTGTCATTTCTCCATTTGCGACCGCGAATTTACTGCCCACATATCACCCTACAAAGAATTGTAAGTGTGCGTAGACTAATAATGACCTATGGTAAAAGTAGCGGCGTTGCAATAGAACTCAAAAGAATTGTGAGTCATGTCAGGTGGATCAACGCATGGCTACTTATAGAACAAAATCCATGTGGGTGGTACACAATAAAGGACGTATTTTGGAAAAGGTAGTGTTCAAAAGACTCCACTATCATGTATTGAAACACATGGGTTATTGGATTGACATGGCATGTTGTAACGGTTGAAGTCACCATTCGTTTGCTTCATCTGTAAGTCTATAGACATAGTCCTGTTGTTGAAACATGATTTACATGTCATCATTACAAATTCCTCAAATGTAAGTATGAATGTCCGACTTGACGAAATGACTTGGGTGTATTTTTCATTGGCAGTTCATCACTTGAATCGGACGTTGTTATTGGAATATGAAGGCAGTCGTCATCTGAATATGACAGTCTAACGAGATTAGTTTGAAGTCATGTAGATTTGAACAGTTTTTCAAACATTCATTCAGTTTGTTCCATGTCTTTGCGGCAGCACACTTGAAGGTTCTCTTCCCGTAGCTGGCCGCTGGTAATAAGTTCACTGAAAACGTTATACATGTATGTGCATTTATGAATTCAGTGTTTTGGAAGTCAGCTCACAATGTCCTTAGTTGCACATCATTGAGTTCATGTATGTTCCCTTGTAGCGTAGCAAATACATATCATTTTCATTACGATTCACCTCTGTCTTAAGCACCGAACATTTCATTAAACTTGAAAACCTGAAATAGAAAAGATTATTCCCGTTGTTTCCCAATTAAATTCAAAGAGGTGGGAAATGGCCATGTTGAAATCAAAGAGAGACGGGAGTCCCAACTACTTTTATTACAACTTACCGCACTTGTTGTTACATCTTGCCGCAGTTTATTACAATTTACCGCGACTGTCATTACAATTTACCACAGTTTGGTACAATTTACGGCACCCGCCTCTCAGTTCGAATAATATCAAATAATATTACATAAAAATCCAAAATATTGCCGTTTTCAATTCTTTTAACGTGCCAGTGGTGGAATGTGACCATGATTAAGTCGAACAAATTGGAAGGAATCAGAGATGTTATTACAATTTACCGCACCAGTTATTACAATTTGCCGCAGTTGATTACAATTTACCGCGCTTGTTATTACATCTTGCCGCAGTTTGGTACAATTTACAGCACCTATTTTTCAGTTTGAATGATAGAAATAATCCAAAATATTACCGTTTTTCATTCATTTAACATCCCAGTGATGGGATCTGACCATAATGAAGCCAAACAAACACTGGAATTCGACTTTCTTTGGAAATAAGAAGGAATCAGAGATGTTATTACATTTAACCGCACAAGTTATTGAGTTTCCCGCAGGTTATTACAATTTACCGTGCTTGTTATTACAATTTGCCGCAGTTTGTTAGAATTTACAGCACCTGTCTCTCAGTTCGACTGATAGAAATAATCCAAAATATTCCCCTTTTTCGTTCTTTTAACAAGCCAGTGGTGGAATGTGACCACGATGAAGTCGAACAAACTCTGAAATTCGACATTCTTTGGAAATTAGAAGGAATCAGAGATGTTGTTACAATTTACCGCACCAGTTATTACAATTTGCTGCAGTTTATTACAATTTACCGAGCTTGTTATTACAATTTGCTGCATTTTTTGGAATTTACATCACCTGCCTCTCAGTTCGACTGATAGAAATAATCCAAAATATTGCCTTTTTAGTTCTTTTAAAAGCCAGTGGTCGAATGTGACCATGATTAAGTCGAACAAACTCTGAAATTCGACTTTCTTTTGAAATTAGAAGGAATTAGACATGTTGTTACAATCTACCGCACCAGTTATTATAATTTGCCGCAGTTTGCTGCAATTTACGGCACCTGTCTCTGAGTTCGAATGATAGAAATAGCCCAAAATATTTCCGTTACATTCATTTAACATCCCAGTCATGGGATCTGACCATAATGAAGCCAAAGAAACAATGGAATTGGACTTTATTTGGCAATTAGAAGGAATCAGAGATGTTATTACAATTTACCGCACCAGTTATTACAATTTGCTGCAGTTTGTTACAATTTACCGTGCTTGCTATTACAATTTGCCGCAGTTTGTTAGGATTTACAGCACCTGCCTCTCAGTTCAAATGATAGAAATAATCCAAAATATTGCCTTTTTTCGTTCTTTTAACAAGCCAATGGTAGAATGTGACCATGATTAAGTTGAACAAACTCTGAAATTCGACTTTCTTTGGAAATTAGAAGGAATCAGAGATGTTATTACAATTTCCAGCACCAGTTATTACAATTTGCCGCAGTTGATTACAATTTACCGCGCTTGTTATTACATCTTGCCGCAGTTTGGTACAATTTACATCACCTGGCTCTCTGTTTGAATGATAGAAATAATCCAAAATATTACCGTTTTTCATTCATTTAACATCCCAGTGATGGGATCTGACCATAATGAAGCCAAACAAACACTGGAATTCGACTTTCTTTGGAAATAAGAAGGAATCAGAGATGTTATTACATTTAACCGCACCAGTTATTGAGTTTCCCGCAGGTTATTACAATTTACCGTGCTTGTTATTACAATTTGCCGCTGTTTGTTAGAATTTACAGCACCTGACTCTCAGTTCGACTGATAGAAATAATCCAAAATATTCCCCTTTTTCGTTCTTTTAACAAGCCAGTGGTGGAATGTGACCACGATGAAGTCGAACAAACTCTGAAATTCGACATTCTTTGGAAATTAGAAGGAATCAGAGATGTTGTTACAATTTACCGCACCAGTTATTACAATTTGCTGCAGTTTATTACAATTTACCGAGCTTGTTATTACAATTTGCTGCATTTTTTGGAATTTACATCACCTGCCTCTCAGTTCGACTGATAGAAATAATCCAAAATATTGCCTTTTTTAGTTCTTTTAAAAAGCCAGTGGTCGAATGTGACCATGATTAAGTCGAACAAACTCTGAAATTCGACTTTCTTTTGAAATTAGAAGGAATTAGACATGTTGTTACAATCTACCGCACCAGTTATTATAATTTGCCGCAGTTTGCTGCAATTTACGGCACCTGTCTCTGAGTTCGAATGATAGAAATAGCCCAAAATATTTCCGTTACATTCATTTAACATCCCAGTCATGGGATCTGACCATAATGAAGCCAAAGAAACAATGGAATTGGACTTTATTTGGCAATTAGAAGGAATCAGAGATGTTATTACAATTTACCGCACCAGTTATTACAATTTGCTGCAGTTTGTTACAATTTACCGTGCTTGCTATTACAATTTGCCGCAGTTTGTTAGGATTTACAGCACCTGCCTCTCAGTTCGACTGATAGAAATAATCCAAAATATTGCCTTTTTTCGTTCTTTTAACAAGCCAATGGTAGAATGTGACCATGATTAAGTTGAACAAACTCTGAAATTCGACTTTCTTTGGAAATTAGAAGGAATCAGAGATGTTATTACAATTTACCGCACCAGTTATTACAATTTGCTGCAGTTTGTTACAATTTACCGTGCTTGCTATTACAATTTGCCGCAGTTTGTTAGGATTTACAGCACCTGCCTCTCAGTTCAAATGATAGAAATAATCCAAAATATTGCCTTTTTTCCTTCTTTTAACAAGCCAATGGTAGAATGTGACCATGATTAAGTTGAACAAACTCTGAAATTCGACTTTCTTTGGAAATTAGAAGGAATCAGAGATGTTATTACAATTTCCAGCACCAGTTATTACAATTTGCCGCAGTTGATTACAATTTACCGCGCTTGTTATTACATCTTGCCGCAGTTTGGTACAATTTACAGCACCTATTTTTCAGTTTGAATGATAGAAATAATCCAAAATATTACCGTTTTTCATTCATTTAACATCCCAGTGATGGGATCTGACCATAATGAAGCCAAACAAACACTGGAATTCGACTTTCTTTGGTAATAAGAAGGAATCAGAGATGTTATTACATTTAACCGCACCAGTTATTGAGTTTCCCGCAGGTTATTACAATTTACCGTGCTTGTTATTACAATTTGCCGCTGTTTGTTAGAATTTACAGCACCTGTCTCTCAGTTCGACTGATAGAAATAATCCAAAATATTCCCTTTTTTCGTTCTTTTAACAAGCCAGTGGTGGAATGTGACCACGATGAAGTCGAACAAACTCTGAAATTCGACATTCTTTGGAAATTAGAAGGAATCAGAGATGTTATATATGTGTGTGTGTGTGTGTGTGTGTGTGTGTGTGTGTTAGTGTTAGTGTTATAGAAATAAGTGATTTATGCTGGTGTATAAGCAATAAATATACAAAAGATATTACTTCTTGACACATGGTCTGTGTATTTCAAGTCAGT